CTCGGAGGGTAGGAACACTTGCCCCAGAAGCAGTGAGATAGCTCGGAGGGTAGAAACGCTTGCCCCAGAAGCAGTGAGATAGCTCGGAGGATAGAAACGCTTGCCCCAGAAGCAGTGAGATAGCTCGGAGGGTAGAAACGCTTGCCCCAGAAGCAGTGAGATAGCTCGGAGGATAGAAACGCTTGCCCCAGAAGCAGTGAGATAGCTCGGAGGGTAGAAACGCTTGCCCCAGAAGCAGTGAGATCGCTCGGAGGGTAGGAACGCTTGCCCCAGAAGCAGTGAGATCGCTCGGAGGGTAGGAACACTTGCCCCAGAAGCAGTGAGATAGCTCGGAGGATAGAAACGCTTGCCCCAGAAGCAGTGAGATAGCTCGGAGGGTAAGAACGGTTGCCCCAGAAGCCTGTCCTTGGATGTGCACACATACACACACACACCTTTAAAAACACGCTGTGCACAGCGGGACACACTTGTAATCCCAGAACTGCAGAGGCAGAGGCAGGCAGGTCTCTGGTGCCAGTTTGGTCTACAGACTGAGTTCCAGGACAGCCAGAGCTTCATAGTGAGACCCTGCCTCAAACAAAACACACAAAAAGCAAGCTGCTAGTGGAGCAGAAAGGCCCAGGGGTACTGTACAACAGCTCTGAGAACATAACTTTTCCGTGAACAGACGACTCCCTCCTGCTCTTTGTAGAACACATACATGGGCTATCTGGACTACCGGAAGAAGACCATCAAGGACCTTGGCATCAGCCCCAGCACCTGTTCATTCAATCCTGGTGTGATGGTCGCCAACATGACCGAGTGGAAACACCAGCGCATCACCAAGCAGCTGGAGAAATGGATGCAAAAGAATGTGGAGTATGTGTGCGCTTCTCTGCCACCACCGTTCCCCAAATGGCTCAGCTAATCTTTGCATAGCTCAAGAGTTATAAACACATCTGGGGGCGGATTTTCATAGTACCTGCAGACCAAGAAAAGGGGCATGGGTGAAATTCTTTCCCAAATGATAGAAATTTGAACAACTGAGATGCTATGAGGTAAGGGATTCGTCCCTTTTATATCCTAGTAAGTTGCTTAGTAATATGACTTGAATCTTTTCCACTGAGCAATCTTCATTTGAGTTTCTTTTATGGGTCTACTTTTTGAGGGGAACAGGGTCTCATTCTGCAGCCCTGGCCTGCTGGCCTGAAACTTGAGAAACCAGGCTAGCTTTTGCCATCGACATGCTGGGATTAAAGACTTTTAAGGTTAATTTCATAGAAACTGCATTTTTCCCCCTTTTTGAGACAGAGTTTCTCTTTGTAACTGCCCTGGCTGTCCTGGAAGCTGCTTTGTAGACCAGGCTTACCTCGGACTCACAGAGATCCACCTGCTTCTGCCTCCTGAGTGCTGGGATTAAAGGTGTGCACCACTACACCTGACTCAATTTTTTTGCTCATTTAAAAAAGTATTTTTATGTGTGTGGTGTTCTGCTTCCTTTACGTATGTCTATGCACCACAAGCATAACTGGTACCCTTGGAGGTCAGAAGAGGTTGCTGGATGCCTTGGAACTGGAGTCACAGATGGTTGAGTCACTATCTGAGTGCCGGCAACCTCAAACTGGGGTCCTTTGTGGACACCAGTGCTCTTAAGCATTGATCCGTATCTCCAGCCCTGTTATCTGTGTCTTAATACATCATAACATTGAACTTGTTAGTAGATATAAGTAATATAAAGATTTGATTTTCTGTGCCTATCACAGAAACCTTGAGTTAGCGACAAGATGTTAACAAGTGTACCACTGTGAATCTAGGTGATACACGTTGGTGTGGCCGTATGTACATGAGAGGGATGCCAGGTGACATACCCGGGAGACTGTGATTCCAGATCATGTACAGGGGACACTGTGACCCTACATGATGTGTATGGGTGCTCCTCATTTTCTACATTTTGAAGTTTGATCATTTTAAAACTAAGAAAAAAACTGGGAGGCGGGTGTATTGCAGTACCCAGGAAGCAAAGGCAACAGGCTTGATTCAAGGTTACCCTCAGTTATACGGGGACTTCAAGGGCATGAGACGATTTCTACCAAAATCCTGAGATAAAAACCAGGAAAGCAGAGGAGAGTCTGACATCTTTTTTGAAGGAGCACATTAGCACTGACCTGGTATTTGTGAGGGCTCAGCCCTAATGCTTCTTTCCCATCTCATTTCTTAGAGAAAACCTGTACAGCAGCTCCCTGGGAGGAGGAGTAGCTACCTCCCCGATGCTGATTGTGTTTCACGGGAAATATTCCACCATCAACCCGCTGTGGCACATAAAGCACCTGGGTAAGTACTGCCAGGAAGCAAGGCGAGCGCACACTGTGCCAGTCACCCCACGCTACCTACAGTCTAGGGCCTCAAAGCCTTGGGGTGACCTTGGCCATGCCACCCCCTTAACCCTCAGGCTCAGAATCTGCAGTGCAGCTGGTATCTTTAGTTGCCAGATGGTTCATTTTAGGATTCATGAAGTTTATGAACCTGGGCTGGAGAGATGGCTCAGCAGTTAAGAACACTGATTGCTCTTTAAGAGGACCCACAGCTCACAAGTGTCTGCAATTCCAGTTCCAAGGGAGCTGACACCTTCACGCAGACATGCATGCAATGCACACAAAACAAAAACAAATTAAAAAATAGTAAAAGAGTTATTTAAAAAAAAGTTTAAGGACCAATGGTTAACATAGAACTTGGACGTTGCCATGTTCTACAGAACACTGTGGAAAGAACCTACCAGTGTGTAATGGCATACAATGACTTTAGCTAGCTGGCACTTCCATACATGCCCACATGCATGCTTACACACCACAGACACATGTTCAAAGAAGGAAAAGGAAAAAGCACTTTGTGATTCGGGAGCAGACTCAGAGTCACATCAACTACTGACATACAAGGTAGTAATCTTCCAGAGGAAAACAATCCACTTTTCTCCGAAAGGTTTGGAATCAGGCAAGGTCTGTAAAGTCAGCCTCTATAGCAATGGTTTGATCAGTGATCTGATTTAATTTGTTTTAGATGTGGAAAGCACAGTAATGGTATGATGTACTAAGTTTGGGTCTAAACAGAAAGACTTAACATCTATCAAACAACTTAGTTAAAAATACTCTCATCTCAGCCGGCCGTGGTGGCACACTCCTTTAATCCCAGCACTAGGGAGGCAGAGGCAGGTGGATCTCTGTGAGTTGGAGGCTGGGCTGGACCAACAGCCTCCAAAACAATACAGAGAAACCCTGTCTCGTAAAAACCAAAAAAAAAAAAAAAAAAAAAAAAACCTCTCATCTGAGACGCAGTTCCGAGGTAGTTCCAGTGTTATGAAGCTGACGTGAAGATGTCTCACTGATGCCTTCCACATCAAAGTGCCTCCTCCCAGATGTGGGCTGCTAACTGTAACCCCAGGCTGAGGTGACCAACCAGCTTCTCTATGGCACCTGCTGTCTGTCCCACCTTGCAGGGTGACAAAAGCCAGCAGAATACCATTATCCCAGATAATCATTTTTCTCTACTCAATGGACTTCCAGTTATGGAAAGAAACATAACAGCAGAGAATATGTATCCCACCACCCCTCCCCCACCCGGAGACAGGGCTTCTCTCAGTGTAGCTTTGGAGGCTGTCCTAGAACTCACTCTGCAGACCAGGCTGGCCTCGAGCTGCCTACCAAGTGCTGGGATTAAGTGTGTGCCACTACCACCCTTTGAGAATATGGGTTTTTCTAAGTTGTATTTGCATGACCTTCTCACAGTACTGTAGAATACTCCAGGCAGTGGCAGTGTTAAGCCGTCTTCACTGTCTAGCCCTCTGATGCATTTACTTTATCAGCTGTGTGCACGCTGGCAGTGTCACACCAGGGAGGCATAGGTGAGCTGTGAGTGCTAACTGAAAACTACTGTAAGCTTGTAGCCAATGTTTCACTAACAAACCTATTGTCCTCTGCACACACTGAAGGCTGGAACCCTGATGCAAGATATTCCGAGCACTTTCTGCAGAAAGCTAAGCTACTCCACTGGAATGGAAGACATAAACCCTGGGACTTCCCTAGTGTTCACAATGACTTATGGGAAAGCTGGTTTGTTCCTGACCCTGCAGGGATCTTTAAACTCAATCACAACAGATGACACACTCCAGCCCTGAAAGTGTTCCCGGGATAAGAATGGGACCGCCCTTTGTACCCTACCCTAACACATCGTTATGACAGTGCCCTGACACATATGATCTATAAAGTCAGAAACAACTACTGTGTACAAGTTGAGCCATGGACCAAATAGGCAGACTGAGCTTCTTCAAGTTCAAGTGATAATTAGAACTGGCCCCGCATTCCCCTCGCCTCTCTTTTTGGTGTTTTGAGACAGGGTTTCACCTTAGGCTGGTCTTGACTTGAATGAAAATCACATCAGGAAACTTTAAAAGTCGCTAATTTTTCAGTTAGCTATGTTTGTAGTTGGTCTTGTTTGCTCTGATTTAAGATAAGGTCTCTCTGTGTAGCCCTAGATGGCTTAGAACTCACTTATCAACGAGGCTGGCCTCAAACTCAGGAGATCTACATGCCTCTGCCTCCTAAGTACTTGAATTAAAGGCATGTGCCACCATGCCTGGATGCAGGTTTTTAAATTTCTTTTTTAACAGTTTGACAGTTTTGGCCGGTCGTTGGTGGCACACTCCTTTAATTCCAGCACTCGGGAGGCAGAAGCAGTTGGATCTCTGTGAGTTAGAGACCAGCCTGGTCTACAGAGTGAGTTCCAGGGCAGCCAAGGCTACACATAGAAACCCTGCTTGGAAAAACACACACACACACACACACACACACAAAAATGAACAAACACAACAAACAAAAAGATATCTGTACAAATAAAATATTCAAATTTTTATGATTTTCCTCATTCATTACTCTACAAGTTAAATATAATAGAAAGTAACTGTCTTCAGGTTTAGAGCAAGAAAGAATACCACTAAGTCTTGCTACAGAAAAGCCTGGACCTTAAGTATGTATAGTCATTCTTAATGTTTATTGTAAAAACCACCCAGACTTCCATATGAATTTAAAATCTCAGTGTTATTTAATGAAAAAAAAAATCCCATCCTGTCACGTGCAGGACACATTACTGCTATTTGCCCTGTTCAGGGAAAAGTACTGGGACTAAACTCGGAAGACCCTCATACCTGTCTCCAGAGTGTCATAATTTAAAGTATTTCTCTATTCAAGGAAATCTATGGTAAAGCTATAATAGCCATATACCAAAGCAACACCTAGTTACATGCTTTACACGGTCCTATGAAAAAATAATTCACTCGATCCTAGTCCCTGATGCAAGGCACTTCAGAGCACCCCACAAAATGTCCATGTAAACAGCAGTGCAGTACACCTTAAAACAGCATGACTCACACACATAGCCTGGCTGAGACTCAGGAAAATAAGCCCTATCACCCCACAGCCAAGCGGCATGTTAAGATTCACAAGAAGCTGCTTCTCTTGTTATTCACAGAAGAACAGGCCACATAACCTCTGTGGAATATAAAAACCTCGCGGACATTTCATACTGCAAAACCAGCATGCTCCTTGGGTATTCGCCATGTCAGAACATTCATGAGTGATGAGGAGTGAATGCAATACGTATTTCTGAATACCCAGTTTTAATATCCCACAGCCCTACTAGGCTGGGCTATTTGTAGCACCATGGAAAATGCATTAGAAACCACAAAGGTACAAATTCCAGCCAACCTTTTCATGAGGTTCACTTAGTCTACAGTAACAAACAATAGTGACAATAATTTTTAAATTATTGACTAGTTAGTTTTAACTAGCAAGAAAAATTCTGTGTTATCTTAGTAAGACCCCTGTACACGCAGCACCATTTTAAAACAGAATTGTCAAATACCTCCAGCATCATGATGCTCACCCTGAAAGTTCATTTCTTACCACTTCCCATGTCAAGGATAAAATTAGAACAGTGACAAACACTGAGGGGGAAATTCAATAAAACACACGATTGGCAAACTATAAAAGGTCTACTGCATTCTCAGGAACCTTCAGTTCAGCAAAGCAGTGTCTGCTTCTGAGAGGCCCAACACACAGGAGTGGGGGGTCAAAGGCAGGGCTCAGGCCACACCCTGTTTCTGTTACTAAGCAACTGCTATACACACCATTTGGAGAGTGTGACTACAACCCAGAGAATTCTGAGTTTACCCCCAATTTCCAAAACTAACCAGACTCCAATGAGGGTTGGTTAGCTTTTTACATGGAAATCGGTGTATCTGCCAGTTTGATTCTTACTAGCATGCCCTTCTGAGGATTGGTTATAAAAGGGATAACGGCATATATAGATATGCACAGTCAAGAATCAACTATAAATATTCAGACTGTTGCGTCTTAAAATTACATCAAGGTGACTCCCTAAAGAAAACCAGTTTCTTCATAAATGAAATCTAATATATAAAAAGCTGGAATGATGGGTAATTAAAATACAAAACTCAGGTAGAAAACACCCTATTTTTCCTTTCACCTACACAGGTTCATGCAGTTGACTCTACACACAACTGCTCCATATACAGTCACACCACTAGTGTAAAGTACTAGCACTACCGACTTAGGAAACGGAAGACTCTGGGGCCTCACAGCCGCATTAAAACTGCAGCGCTGAGGCAGAGCTCAGAGGACCGTCATCAAGCATGGCTTCCTTCTTCCTGCTCCCGGGTCCCACAGTTATCAAGGGCCGGGATCTGGTCTGCAAACGGCTGTGCTACCCACTGCCCGTCTGGAGCGCCACCAGGAGCTGCTTCTCCTCTCAGCTCCGCACTGTGGGCTGCTGGGAAGGGAAAAGAGTCAAAGTTCACGGTCAAGTTGCAGAATTCTCATAGGGAGAGCTTTAAAGTGCACTGAAGGTGAATTATTACAATAACCGAGTGAGCTTTTAAAAATAATTGTATGTTTCTACTAGATTTTCAGATCTAGGACTGAGAAACTGTCATTTGTTATTCAGGGAGATAAGAAATTATGTGAAACTGACTTAGTGGAGCCCATTCTATATGGAGAGATACCTTGCCCAGCCTAGACACAGGGTGTGGGGGTGGGGAGGTGCCTTGGTCCTGCCTCAATGAGATGATGGGGCAGACGTAGTATTCCTATGGGAAGCCTTACCCTCTCTGTGGAGCTGATGGGAGGAGGGGGGAGTGGAGGGAGTGGGAGGAGAGGAGAGAGGGGGGAACTAGGATCGGAATGTACAAAATAAATTAATAATAAAAAAGAAATGATGTGAAAATCTTCAGTCACTTAATTACATTTTTCTATTAGGATACCTAAATCTTCAAAAATTCATTTCTGTTTCTATTACATTCTCCGCCTCCCATTCCCCCCGAAAGGAACAAAGCTGGAGGGAAACATACCTAGCCCGTTTGAGGCAAAGCTGCAAGGCTCACTCTGACGTGGGTTCTCACTGTACGCACTGCCATACGCTGCTTCATAGCCGGGGTCATACTTTTCTTCCTTGACAGCCATCTTCTTTGCATCCTCTGTGGGGAAGGAACATGACTGAGACTCATGCTATCCAAGAGTCTTCTGTGCAAACTCAGCTGAGTTAGACGATTTGCTATAGTTTTTTTTTTAAAGATTTGTTATTTTTATTTATGTGTGTGTGAGTTGCATGAGTTTATATACACTCAAGTGACCAAGGAGGCCAGAGGGCAGTGGATCCCTTGGAACTGCAATCACTGGTGGCTGTCAACCGCCTAAGTGGTCCCGAGACCCAAGCCCAGTCTACAGGAGCATCAAGTGTTTTTACCCACTGAGTCATTTCTCCAGCCCCGTTTGCTATCGTTCTTGTAAGAACTGGAAATCCACCACACTCAATTTCAGGCAGGGAGGTGCTCCTCAGACCCGAACCGTGGTACCGGAGGCGTGAACAGATGCTGAAACCCATTACCAGAGCATCTGGCCTCAGTTTTCTTTCTTGCTGCTTTAAACCCATAACGTCCTTTCTGTTCTGCACACAGAAACTGGTGGGGGGGGGGGGGGGGTAACAAACCTTGTGCGAGCTGTAGGTCAAACGTGTACTGCACCTCCTGCACGTCTGTGTTCCGCTCAATGCCTTTCAGCTGGTCTCTTAGGTCCTTCAGCTTGATGTAGTAGTGAACCTTGTCCTGGGCGCGGGGAAACTGAGCACACCTGGCACTGGAGGACGGCATGACGTAGCAGAGCTGGGGTCACAAGTTTAGAGTTTCAGAGACTTTAACACGTGATGAATCTGCTCACGCTGTGGTTAGAGACACTGGTCCTTGTTTGGCTTATAACTCGATACTTACATTAAAAAAGATGGTTCCCCTCCCCCCCGTGTTCCTCTAGCAATCTTTTCTTTCTGGGGTGCTCATGGACAAACAGAGGCACCCAGGGTATCACCTGTCCCACATCCCTTTTAATAAACACGCACACAGTGACATCCCCCTGCGCCTTGCTGCTCTTTTCACTCAATGATGAAACTCCGACATGTTCTGACCATAAAGTAAGGCAGGGAAAAAAGCCTTTTAAATGCTTTAAGTTTATAACTTATTAACCAAAGTCAACTGTAGACTTTAGGTTGTTTTGAGTTCTTTTATCAACTATAGTAAAAAACTTTGTGTATCACTAATCTGGAAATGCTCTCAGAAATTGTATAAAATACCAGAAGCAGATCGCTACAGGAAAAGACACATTTATCACTTTGGTTGGTAACTGCCTTCAAAGAGCAGAAGTTGCTTTTGTTCTTTCTACACACAAGTAAGGGGACAGACTGTTATATTTATGGTGATTTTTAAAGATGGTTTCTTTATCATATAATTTTGCTTTGAGGCTTCCTTATCATATAATTATTTTGCTTTGATTATGCATGTTTAGAAAAACTCCTAATATACAGACATGTAGGTAAGTACATTAGCATGTTTACAACAGCCCATTTCCAAGATATCCTTCAATTAAAATGACCCAGAGTAGACTGGCTGGGTATGATGGCACACACTTTTAATCCTAGCATTCAGGAGTACAGGCAAATGGATCTCTGTGAGTTTGAGGACAATCTGGTCTACACAGTAAGACACCCCCCCCACACACACAAAGTAAAAGAAGGAAGTAAATTGTTTTCTCTGTGAGCTAAAGCACATCAATGGCTTCTTATTTCAGGGTAAAGAGTACACTGTATAAAATAAACACAAGGCCTAGAGACTGCCACAGTTGCCATAATTATTTCTTGGCTGTCAACTGACCCATGTCCAGAATCACCTGTAAAGAGGCAATATCACCTGAAGAATTATCCAGATCAAACTAGCCTGTGGCCTGTGAGGCACTTTCTGGTTTTGGGGTGGGGGTAGGGGTGGGGGCGGGGGCATATGTACAAGTGGAGGCTCAGATGTCAACTTGTGGGAGTCATTTCTCTCCTTCTACATCTGTCTGGGGACTGAACTCAGGTTGTCAGGCTTGGCAGAAAGTCTTAACCCACTGAGGCATCCTGCCAGCATTTTCTTAACTGCTAATATAGGGGAGGGCCTGGACCCAGCCACTGTGACTAGTACCATCCCTAGTGAGCCCATTTTTTTTTGTTTGTTTGAAGATTTATTTTATGTGCATGTGTGTTTTACCTGCATGTATGTCTGTGTGAAGGTATTGGATCTCCAGAAAGGGGAGTTACAGAGAGTCGTGAGCTGCCACATGGGTGCTAGAAATTGAGTCAAGGTCCTCTGGGAGAGCAGCCAGTGCTCTTTTAACTACTGAGCCAACTCTCCAGCCCCAGAACCTGGGTTTTATGAGACAGCAAGCTGAGGCAGCCAGAAAGCAGTGTCTTCCACAGTCTCTGCTTAAGTTTCTGCTTCCAGGCTCCTGCTCTCGCTTCCTTCCACGATGGTGCGCGACTTGTAAGGGGAAATAAGTCTTTTCTTCCTGAGTTGCTCTTGGTCACAGTGTTTATCACAGCAAGAGTGCAAACTACTGTTCACCAATCAAGAAAAGTGCAAACTACTGTTCACCAATCAAGAAAAGTGCAAACTACTGTTCACCAATCAAGTGTTTACAGGAAAAGATAGGGAGAGATTTTTAAAAAGTAGCTGAAACTTGTGTAGGTGGCAGAGGCTTTATCCTGAGATCTTTAGGATTCTCTCTCATTTAAAAATGACAGGTAAGGGGCCTCCTTAACATAGCAGGCACCATGTGGGGCTCAATACCATAAAATATGCTGACTTGTGCACTATTATGATTTTTGTCTTTTTTCAGACAGGGTTTCTCTGTGTAGCCCTGGCTCTCCTGGAACTCACTTTGTAGATCAGGCTGGCCTCACAGAGATCCTCCTGCCTCTGCCTCGGTGTGCACCATGTGGTTTTTAAAAAGTTGTATACAGGGTCTACTCTGAAGGCTGAAATAGGAGGATGGCAAAACCTGAACTACAGAGTGATCTGAAGACTACTTTGGACATCCTAATGAGACTATCTCAAAACAAACAGTAAAAGAGAAGGCTGGGAACATAGCTCAGTAGCAGAGCACTTGCCTAACATGTGAGAAACCCCCACCCCAACTGAATAATAAAAGAAACCTGCATAAAAACTATGTTTAAGAGGGTCAGGGTAGGGCTGGAGAGATGGCTCAGAGGCTAAGAGCACTGGCTGCTCTTCCAGAGGTCCTGAGTTCAATTCCCAGCAACCACATAGTGGCTCATAGCCGTCTATTATGGGATCTGATGCCCTCTTCTGGAATGCAGGTATATGTGCAGACAAAGCACTAATACTGAAAAAAAAAAAAAAAATATATATATATATATATATATATATATATAACTGGGGTACAGCTAAGTTGTAGAGTAATTGTCTAGCACACACAAAAGACCTAGTACAATAAAGTAAAACAAGACAAGAAAGCCAAAAACCTATACACTTAAGTAGTAAAAAAAGAAGAGTAAACAAAATCAAAACCAAATGTCTGCAGATATTCTGTGGAAATTAGTTTGAAAACCACTATATGGGGCTGAAGAGATATCTCAGAAGTTAAGAGCACTGGTTGCTCTTACAGATGACCCAGGGTTCAATTCTCAGCATCCACGTGGTGGCTCACAACCATCTGTAACTCAGGTCCCAGGGAATCTGGTGCCCTCTTCTGGCCTTCATTGGCATTGCACACATGTGGTACACATGTAAGCAAACACCCATAACATAAAAAAAAAAAAAATAGATAAATAAATGTTAAAAAGAGAAAATCACAGGGCTGTCTCATGATATCCTTGATTATATGATGTAGCAAACAGACGCTGGCTGGCTGTTTGCTGTGTATGGCTCTAAGATTAAGCTGGGATTAAATACACAAATGATGTAGCTCATTTTATCACTGAGGACTGTGTTTATATGTATGCTTGAATTTTTAAGTAACTGAATGTAGTGTGAGCCAGTTCCTCTGACATTAGGCTGACAAATACTTTTAAATAAAACTCTAATTGCATCTGAAAGTGCAAGCTGATAGTTATTTAATAAAACAGATGGCAAAAATGGCAGTGTCTGAGACAAATGAAAAGGACAACTAGCTAGAAGTGCCAGCCGGTTTACGGATGGACTTGGAGGACTTACAGTCTCTGTGTCTGGGATCTTGTGGGGCTGAAGCCCAAATTCCAAGTTCTTAACCTTTACTCCAAAAACTTCTTTACTGAAAATTTCGTAAATACCTAAAATAGAAAAACACAAGCAATTCAACACTGCCCTCGACATTAACATAGAGAAAAGATAGAAATTAGGAAGTAAATCTCACATTTTCCATTGAACACCGCTATTCGTGGCTGATATTTCTGCAGTTTCTGCACTAGAATTCTCCCGCCTTCCCGGAATTCTTTACTAAAATTGAATTAAGAAGCAGAGAGGAACATAAACACAGCAGTGTTTGCAACGTGCTGCCTTTAAGCAGCTCAATAAACATCACACATGCAATGTTCCTAAGTAACACGAGAGGCTGCACCTCCATGAACTCATGTTCTGTAGCTACCTGGACAGATCCTTGCTGCCCGGCGTCGTCCGTTCCACCATGTTGGTGAAGCCAATGCCGTACTTCCCAGGTAAGGTGTGGTCATCCATGTGATTCAACTGAACCTCACTCAGTCCTGACATGAACAGACACTTCCCTGTGAAAGAGGACTCTGTCACTTCCACAGAAAGTGGAACACGGTTACCAAAAAAAAAAAAAAAAAAAAAAAAACCAATGGAATAGTACACATTCTGACGCTAAAACCGAAGGGAGATAAAGGACTGAAGATATATTAAAAATTAGTAACCTATGTCTAATGCCATATTGCATAATGACAGCTGGTTGGATTACCATGCTAATCACTATGATTTTAATAATATCATTTTCCTACAAGAAACTATTATCTTCTTTGCACACACAGCTTCAAACTGCATTCTTACCCAGTTATTGGTAATGTCACCATCTGCCTTTGGACTACCCCAGATTAAACTAAAAACCTGGAGAGTGGAGTAAACTAAGACACACTTTCTCAGAATTAGAGAAATAATAATAACAACAGGGGCGAGATGGTGCTGGTTTCAAGTTGTTAACTCAGCCTAAACATCTGGAGTCTTACTCTTAGATGGGCAGTATTGGTTGAGGACATGCACTGTTCTGGTAGGCCGTGGTAAAGGATCCGTATGAACAACTTACACATGTACAGTAACACAACACAGCAGCAGTACCTCTCTTTAAAGAATGAGCCCTCGCTGCTGTGCTCTTCGAAAGGAACTATCTTTAGAGAATGTCTCGGGTCAAAGCATTTACACGTAACTGATATATAACAACCAATGAATTGCTTTTAAGAAACTTGTTTTAGTGTATATGGCGCGTCTTAGTTAGGGTTTCTATTACCGTGATGAAGACCATGAGCAAATGCAGTTTGGGGAGGAAAGGGTTATTTCAACCCACATCTCTCAGGTCACACTCCATCACTGAGGGAAGTCAGGAGCCTGGAGGCAGGAAGTGAAGCAGAGGCCATGGAGGGTGCTGCTCCCTGGCTGGCTCGGCCTGCTCTTACACAGCTCAGGACCACCTGCCCAGGGCGGGGTCACCTACAGCAAGTGGACCTCACAACTGCGGTCACTTTCTCAGCTGAGGTTCCCTCTCATCATTCTGCTCTGAGCTTGTGCCACACGGACAAAGAAAGAAAAGAACAGGTGTCGTGCACCGCGTGTGGGGTGGGTGTCGAAAGGGCACCAGGTCCTGAGAACTGCAGGCACAGGTAGCGTGAAGCCGCGTGTGGGTGCCGGGAATCACAGAGCCAGTACTCTTGGCCTCTGAGCACTCCCTACAGCGCGCAGTCAGTACTTTCATCTCTCCAAGGCAACAACACAGTCTGGGAACACCCATACTCTCGTCTGCACAGTGGATCTCAACTCCCTAAAGTCCTTACAGTTCCTCACGCTGTGGTGACCCCCCGTACCAGAAAACTATCTTCATTGCTGCTTCATAATTGTAATTTGCCACTGTTATGAATCGTGATGCAAATATTTTTGGATATAGAAGTTTGCCAAAGGGGTCTCGACCTGCAGGTTGAGAACCACTGGTCCACACCATCACAGCCAAGTACTATTGTTACTGTATCTATGGGAAACACACACACACACACACACACACACACACACACACACACACACACACACACATCCCACCCCTCTTAAAAAAAATCAAGGCCAGGCATGGTGCCACACAACTTTAATCCCAGGGAGGCAAAGGAAGGGAGCCAACTTGTCTGTATAGTAGTTCCTGAACAGTCAGGATTACATAAAGAAGCTCTGTCTCAATTTAAAAAAAAAAAAAAGTAGTAACAATAAATAAGTCTATAAACCTTAAAAACACTTTGAGCAAAGAGAAGGTAGGGCGGTTAGCCGGTTGTAGAGCACATGCTTACCATGCTCAGAGTACTGTGATTGATCCCCAGCTCCACAAAACCACCAGAAAGCACTTTTCCAGGCCTTCTGCTCCTACTGCAGCAAATGTGCACAGTGACATGTCACTTCAGATACTTGATCTTTATGTATAGACTCGGAGAAACATGCTATCTGAGTATATTTTGTTTGTAGCATTCTCATAAAACCAGCCTACTAATCCTAATAAAAATATTTCATTCTAAAGTAACTTTTAAAAAGTAGACACTTACAGAAATGATTTCCAGGTCCAGGGTAATGATGCCCTTTGTAAGCAGCCATTAATCCTGGGTTAATGCCAATCTATAAAAGAAAATAATTAAACAGTTTTATCTTTAGAAATAGGGCTTAACAACTTAGACAAATGTCATTTTGTTGCATATGCAATATTCGATTGAAAGGCAGACTGTTCTGTTACTGCCACACTCCCTATACTAAATTATTTTGTGTTTTTCCTTAAAAAATTGTCTATTAAAAACTGAGCTGGACTGTCTAACTCTTTTGCCTACTTGTGGGGGACCCTTTCCTAGATGTGATGGTATGTGCCTGGTCTATTGGAGCTTATGCCAGGTTTGCTTGGAGACCCCAGAAGGCCTGTTCTTTTCTGAGGGGAGACAGAGATGGGGTGGATCTGGGGAAAAGCCGGAGGTGGGAGAGAGTGGGGGAGGGGAAGGAGAGGAAACTGTGGTCTGGATATAATATATGAGGAAGAATGACATACATAAATAATAAATAAACAAATAAAGCCAAGAAGAAGGGAAGAAAAACAGAAAAGAAAGCCAGGCTGTGGTAGGGCATGCCTTTAGAGAGGCAGAGGCAGGTGGACCTCTGAGTTCGAGGCCAGTCTGGTCTACACAGAGAAACCCTGTCTCAAAAAACAGAAAAAGAAAAAAATTAAAAAAGGAAGGAAGGAGCCGGGCGGTGGTGGCGCACGCCTTTAATCCCAGCACTCGGGAGGCAGAGGCAGGCGGATCTCTGTGAGTTCGAGGCTGGGCTGGACCGACAGCCTCCAAAACAATACAGAGAAACCCTGTCTCGTAAAAACCAAAAAAAAAAAAAATATATATATGAAAAAAGGAAGGAAGGAAGGAAGGAAGGAAGAAGGAAGGAAGGAGGAAGAAGGACTGTCTGATAAGAAAAAGGTCAGGAAAGGCAGGGTGAGAAGGCACCGGGCAGTAAATACAAAGCAGTACATCATACACATGTATAAGACACAATGATTGTATGCTTGCAAAAAAAGAGGCCTGCAGAGACGGCTCACAGGTTAAGAGCATTGGCTGCTCTTCCAGAGGTCCCGAGTTCAATTCCCAGCAACCACATGGTGGCTCACAACCATCTGTAATGAGATCTGGTGTCCTCTTATGGTGTGCAGGCAGAATACTTTATATATAATAAATAAATCTGGTGCCCTCTTCTGGCCTGCAAGCATACGCGCAGACAGAATACTATATACACAATAAATGAATCTTTAAGAAAACCCCAAAACTATAAGGATGAAGGCTTACCCAGGGCCTTTCCTTGTTGGAAGGTTTGAACCCAGGCAGTCCCAATCCCAGAAACCTTTTCAGAAGCATGCTACTTGTGAGGACAAGTAAGTTAATCCTCTAGTGATATTTACTGGCAACAAGAACAAAAATTCTTACAATCACAATGTCCAGATTGAAGGTCAAAATATCAGGAAGGGTCTTGGTCAAAAGCTCAGCTTCAGAAACACCGTTGAAACGGTCCACTTTTCTTTTCACTTTAAAGGCGTCCGTAATTTTTTCTTGTTTTTCTTTTGACGTTGCTGACTTGCCAGACTTTTTCGGCCGGGCAGGTTTTTTGGGTTCCACTGGGTCCTTGGGTTCTGATGCTCTGGCTTTTCTTTTTCTTCTGTTTGGAGCCTCTGAAACACAGTGATTCCCAGAACGGGGCTGTAGGCAACTTTAACTCAGAAACTGCAGGAGATTCCACAGCAGTCATCCTAGGAACGCCCGTGTTACCTGATCCCAGTCATGGCCTTGAATTTCGAAACACTGGTCTCTACAATGTGTTTGCCTCCTTTTCTAGGCACATGTGATAATCACACACTGATTTTCTATACAATGTCATGTGACTTCTTGGTTTCCCAAGGGGATCTATGGACTACTTTATAGAAAGTCTATCAGTACATGATAGAATCCTGAGACTCAGGAGACATTAGCACTGTCAAAAGACACTTGACTGTCAGGTAAAAAGACACACACTTAAGGTCATGCAACAGGAACCCTTGGTCCCTCACCCTTCACTCTCTGAAAGCTTTCCCGTTTTCTCAGGCTTCTGCCCCATTCTACAACGTATTTTCCCAGCCAAGCCTATACGGCTGCTCCAAGCCTCCTTACCAGCCAGGGCTCCGCCCCCACAGCCTAGTGGCCGGGGAAGCCCTAGTGCCCCGTGGCTGCAAACACGGAAGTGAGACAATAAATTAGGCGCAGCCCTGAAATTATAAACCAGCTCTGAGCACACTCCTCACGTAGACTGCCACAGCTACCTCAGTCTATCTGGCTTTTCTTCTAATTCATCGCAGTGTGCGGCACTTCCTGCAACCAACTGTGTGTCAGAAATCTGAGAACGCTTCGGACAATGCTTGCGTTTGCCCACCAGAAGTTCCTGTGTTTGATGCTTAGTCCCATGGAAGCCTTGTTGGAGGCGTGGAGCCGTTAGGAAGTGGAGCCCAGCAAGGTCCTTGGGTTAACTGGGGGATGTCCTGAGAAGGCACTATCAGATCCGTCTCTGTGACTTCCTGCCTCTCTCTCACACGACTTCTGCCACTGTGGTGCCAACTGTCACCCAGGCCTTTCCCAGAGCTGAGCAAATGCTGGTGCTATGCCACTGAACCTTTAGAACTGTGCACAAACCCCTTTCTCGGAGCTGGAGAGATGGCTCAGTGGTTAAGAGCGCTGGTTGCTCTTGCAGAGGGCGCAGCACTCACACGGCCGTTTACAACCATCTGTAACTCCAGTTCCAAGGGATTTCACACCCTCTTCTAGCCTCTGAAGACACCAGACATATAAGAGTAGTGCACAGACATGCATGTAAAACACCCATACACATAAAACATTAATGGGGCTGGGAATATTGCTCTGTGGTTAAGAGCACATTGGCTGTTCCTCTAGAGGACCTGAGTTCAATTCCCAGGGCCCACATGGCAGCTCAACTGTCTGCAACTCCAGTTCCAGGGATATGATGCCCTCTTCTGGTCTCTGTGGGCACCAGGTACACATGTGCACACACATGCAGGCAAGCACACACCGCAGAAACATAATCATAATGCCACCCAGCCTCAAGTGTGTCGCTACAGTCATGTAATGAACCACGGCAGGTACTTTGAGGTTTCTCCCTCTCCCTCGGCATCTCCATGAACTATATTAGTGGCAGACATGTACTCTCCCTTGAGTATTTCCCAACTCCCTCTATGTTCTCCAATATTCCTTGTATCTTCCCCAGCTTATAGAAACAGTCTCTAACCCACTCCCTGCCTCCAAAGCTGTCTTGTTCCCAGAACCTCCTCCAGACTGAGTTGAAATGCCCTCTGAAGTCACTTCTTTGCTCTCTACACTGCAGCTCTCCGTTACTTTGGGAGTAGAGTGTGCTTCTTAGGGTCAACACGCCTGACTGCCCTGTCTCCCACCATGTCCATCTATACTCCAGGAGCCACACAACCATCAGGTTCTGGCTGCCAGGCCGCAACTCTGTTCCTTTAGCAGGAAGCTCGCCTTTCAGAGCTCCCGTGTCTGTGTTCTGCTGCCTCTGCGCCCTTGGGCCAATTTAGATGCTGTGCTATGAGACCTCAGGTGGCCATCGTGTGGCCCTGTGCAGCACTGGTGTGCAGATGAGGACCATCTGTGCTGCTTTACCAAGGGAGGACGCATTCAGGGACGGAGGCACGGCTTTAAACCAGCATGCATGCTAAGAACTACCTGGTACAGGTTCCTGGGCAGAGGCTTCTGCGGGCATCTGCACTTCAGTCGTGACCGCCATATTAGGAGCTTCAGCCATCATGTGTTGAAATGGAAATGAATAAAAAGCTTGAACTTGCTCCAGAGGATAGCTGAAAGAACAGTCAGGTAGAAGTTGTGAGTTGAAATTATCTGGTGCACAAAGAATCTTGAGGTTCCAGGTATCTTACAGCCAGATGGCAGTCATTACTCAAAGATAATCGGCGAGAAGGAAGGTCTTACAGCCAGATGGTAGTCATTATTCAAAGATAATAGGCGAGAAGGAAGGTCTACTTCCTTCCAGACCCTTAGCAAATACTCACCACACAGGCATTAGTCTGCCCGTCCCGTCAAGTTGCCCATACTTTCTGTGAAACAAGATCGTAGAACTTTCTAGTAGACTTGAAGAACTCTCAATCCACAGGAATTGAAAATATTCACAAACGCAATTTTATGTCCCTACAAGCACTACTCCCCATCTTGGTACAAAGATTTCCCCATCCTAACAGAGCAACTTAAGTCCTCCGACCCCCAGACAGGACTTCTGAGTATCCCTGGCTGTCCTTGAACTCAGAGAGTCACCTGCCTATGCCTCCCAAATGTTGGGATTAAAAGTGTGTGCCACCACTGTCTGGCTGTTTGTTTTTCTAAATGTATCCATTGAACTTGGTTTTATTATTGTTGGCTTTGTTTTAGTTTTTGCTTGCTGTGTTCTGTGCAGTAGAGTGGATTATTTTATAAGTATCTGTTTAAGAAACAAACACCTCTAAACTGTACACTTCATTAAAAGGAAAGCACACAGACCTTGCTGGGCATGTAGATATGCACCTGTCACCCCGAGCCTGGTGAGAAGAAAGCAGGACAACGGGTTCCAATTACAGAGACCCCGGCTCATACAACAGAAATCAAGCAAGCAGCCAAAACCCACTCCAAACCCCGGCCTTCAAAGGAAGCTACTTCCAGAAGCCTGCATCTCCCTCTCTTGTCTTTCGCTCAAGATAAGGTTTCTCTGTGTAGCCTTAGCTATCCAGGAACTTATTCTGTAGACCAGGCTGCCCTCTACTCGAACTCAGAGATCTGACTGCCTCTGCCTCCTGGGATTAAAGGCGAGTGCCACCACTGCCCGGCACTACATAGCTCAAGATGAACTTGAACTCCTGATCCTCCTGTTTTTAACTCCCAAATATTGGGATTATAGGCATGTATGATCATGCCTGACCCCGAGAATTAAATTTAGTGTCATGTAACTAGCTTCCTAACACCCAAAATGAAAGAAAGGTTATCAGGTGTCGTCCTTGAAGACTTTCCACCTTAGTTTTTGAGACAGGGTCTCTCGCTGAATCATAAGCTCCAAGACTGACCAGACCAGCGAACCAGATCTGTCCATCTCTGCCTCCCCAGTGCTAGAAGACAGACACCAACCACACGGCCAGACTGCCACACAGGTGCTGTGGCAGACACTTCACCCGGAAGTCGTCTCCCCAGTCTCGCTTTTCCTTTTCGGTTTTTAGAGACAGGGTTTCTCTGCGGCTTTGGAGGCTGTCCTGTCACTCGTTCTCGTAGACCAGGCTGGTCTTGAACTCACAGAGATCCGCCTGCCTCTGCCTCCCGAGTGCTGAGATTAAAGGCGTGTGCCACCACTGCCCAGCTTGCTTTTTCAACACTGGTATTCCCTGTGTAACCCTGGCTATCCTGGAACCCACTCTATAGTCTAGTCTTAAACTGACAGAGATCCACTTGCCTCTGCCTATACAACATTCTTATTACTTGGCAGAAGAAAGCAAGTATGTAAGTACATGTACACAAAAACCTTCTTAAACTTTAATGCTAGCAAACCAAAGTTCTAGATAATTTAATCTTTTATTATTGAACAGTCGGTAAAGTTACAAGTGACACAAAGTTGCTTAAACTTTTTTTTTACATTTTCAAAACATCTGTGTATGACTGCGCTTGCCTGCATGAGTTTGTGTGCATGTCATGCTGTGGAGGTCGGAAGGGGAGCCAGGGCCCCATAACTTATGAGCAATCATGAGGAGCCGCCCTGCGTTTGATGGGAGAGGAACTCACGCCCTCTACAAGTTCTTAACTGCTGAACCATCCTGCTAACTTCCTGCTTCAAAGATTCAAGAAATAGCTTTGCCTCTAGTGCACACCACACACACACACACACACTGACTACCTCCTGGAGCACAATTCTGCAGTGTTCCTGAATGTTACGTCTCCAGGCGAGGAGCAGCAACAGGAAGAACATAGTCATCATCCCTTCCGTCCAGCTTCCCTTCCCTCACGATGCTGAGAAGTAGATTTAGCAGTCTGTACATTAATCAGGACTAAATCTGCTGAGGTCTGAACAGACCTTGTCTTTGGTTGGTGTGGCCAATACTTGAAAAACAAAAAAGCAACTTAATGGAAGAGCTTATTCCTATACCCAGTTCTCTTAGTCAGTCAGACTGGGGAAGGCGTGGCTTATTCCTATGCCCAGTTCAGAATACAGTCCACCAGGCTGTGGAAGGCAGGGCAGTCTGAGCCACTTGGTCCATGGTGCTGACCAGGCAGCAGAGAAGCGAAATGCCAGAGCTTAGCAGGCTCTTTCCTTTTCCCCAGCCTGGGAGACAGCCCCGAGAAGGATGGACAGAAAAATAAGACACAAGAAGGGGAAGTCTTTTATTCCAGAGTTTGGCTATAAGTCACACGTCAACACAACTGATAAAAATGACAATTCCCTACAGGGATCGCCTATCTAAGGATGTCACAGGTAAGAATATTAAAAACAACTGAGCTAGATCAGGTCCAGAGTGTTCGTGGGCTTAAGTGTGACTGTATTATACTCCTCTCATCCTTAAATCTAAGTAGCACACCTCAGAAAACCACTTACGATATTACGTACAAGGGAAATTCTTTGAGGACACATCAGCGCTGTGGTTTGAATGATGATGGCCCACACAGGCTCCTATATTTGCATGCTTAGTTCCCAGCTGATGAACTGTTTGGGAAGGATTAGGAGGTGTGGCCTTGCTGGAGGAGGAGTCACTGGGGTGGGCTCTGAGCCCACAGCAGGCCCAGCATCTCCCTTTCTGTCTGCTGTTTTCAGTTCGGGACACAAAGCTCTCAGCTACTGCTCCAGTGCCATGAGGACTGACTAACTCTCTGAAAGCGTAAGCTAGCCCCCAGTTAAAGGCTTTCTTTTATAAAAGAAAAAGTCTCTTCACAGCACTAGAACAGTAAGCAAGTGATATCCTTTTTCATTTAGTCTTGCTGTAACTACATCCCCAGAGCAATGCAGTCTAGACACAGGATTTTATATGCAGCCACCAAAGACACCTGTAGACTTGCCTCTTGAGAAGCCACACCCATGTCTTAGGCATGTGCTATCCTTTTGAACTAAGCAGCACCCCACCATGCTTGGGCCAGGTTCAGCAGGCAAAGGTACCTGCCACCAAGACTGACAGCCTGAATGGAAGGAGGAAACACAGTAAAAGCGAGAAGTAAAATGAATCAGCACTCACTTACGACCCTTACCACTGCCTGCCTAGCTTACCAAGCCATAAGCAGGCCCTCCTCACCCCACATTCTTCTGTGCAGTGGAGTCCAAGACCCCGCTTCCCCGAGCAGGGTCTCAAGGCAAGTCCTTGGCAACTGACCGCTGACAGTAAGTACCACCAGCCAGGGCAGCCCCTCTGCGAACTCTGCAGGACAGAGGTGTGTCTTCTAGGACACTCCACGTTGACAGTGATGAACTGTGACAGGTCCCAGACCTTCCATTCTGTGTGAAACTTAAAAGCTTGATGAAAATGTCCTGTTCTCTTTTCTTCCCGTTATCTGTTCCCTCAACTGTTCCACACGGCCTCTTTCCTTCTCAGGCTGCTGATGGCTTCCCTCCTAGACTCCTTCTCCACACCCCTCCTATTCCCAGGACTGGTTTCTACAGTTGTCTGCGGCCTTTCAACACACACACACACACACACACACACACACACCTACCTAAGATGTCTATAGAAAATAACCACATTATACACTTGGGGTTACAAAGCAAGATTTAAAAAGAAAATAGTTACTGCAATCCAGATCTGCTGTATTTTAAATCTTTAAGGATTTCTCTAGAAGCGGTGAGAAACTAGTTTTCAGCTATTTTAAGGTCTGGGTTGCCATTTTCTAAACACCTTTCGTCATTTCCCTTGAACAGGTATGTACTGCACTGAATACCCACAAAACAATGACCTGTGCTAACAAGGTGAACACTGAGTCTAGGGAGCTGGTAATGCGGACTGCGAAGGACACCATCTACCATCTGCTGCGACAGTCCTACGTGGAGAGTGCACCCTTACCTGTGCCTTGGCTACTACAGGCTGTGAGCACACAGGCTTAGGACTAACCAGAACTTCCAGTTCAAGCCAGGCCTGGTAGTAAAGGCTCACAGTCCCAGCCATCTGGGAGGCGGAGGCAGAAAGCTCCCAAACTCAAGTTCCTTCTAAGCTTACGGGGTGAAGGCTAGCCCAGGCAACACAGCAAGATCTTCCAAAACAAAAGAAGAAGGTTGGGGGACATGACTCTGGTAAGGTGTTTGCCTAGCACTAAACTGAAGGCCCTGGACTCGATCCCCATCCACACCCTCCCAAATAATAATAATCCAGGTTCATTTTATTTATTTATCTTTCTTTCTTGGTTTTTCAAGACAAGGTTTCTCTGTATTGTTTTGGAGGCTGTCCTGGAACTCACTCTGTAGACCAGGCTGGCCTGGAACTCACAGAGATCCGCCTGCCTCTGCCTCCCCCGTGCTGGGATTAAAGGTGTGTGCCACCAACGCCCAGCTTCCAGGTTCATTTTAACATCACCTGAATACTATGACACCAGGTGCCCCCCCACACACACAAACTGAAAGACTCCAAATACAGCATCAGTATGAAACTGAGCAGTTAAGTTACCTTCGTTCCAGAGACAAACTACACAACCTATTATATGAAAACTGCCCACAGGCCTTACTTTTTTTTTCCTGCTCTTTCATATAAGACTATGCCTCGTTTTGTTACGACTCACTATTCCAACCATTCAGCATTTACGTATGTAGCCTCTGGTTCGATCTACAAACCCCCCTGAAGGTTGGGCTGGGACACTGGTCACCAGCTGGCCGCTGGAACCTTGCAGTAGGTACGCTGTTGAGGAACAGAGTCGGGGGTGGACCTGCATGCCGCGTCAGCAGAGACCCTCAGCAGTGTGCCCCTGATCCTCTCAGTTGTAAACCAGGCTGTCCTCTCTCTCCCACGAACTGCCGTCAGCCCCCATTAACCTGCTCATAGACATGTACTTACGATGGCACAGCCGTCGAAAGGGGAGGCGGGCTGAGGACAGAAGGCCTTGCCTAAGATCAGTGTCCATTCGCCACTGAGAGGCACACTAATTCTTCACCTACCAGCATCCCCGCGAAGACCCTGCCGCGTCTTACGTTTTTCTTATTTTGCTTTCCGTCAAGAGTCTAAATCTCCAAACCTACACTTTGGCAACACCCGCCGACATCCTCAGCACCCCTGAGCGACAGTGTTAAAGACCTTCCTTCCCAGGGCCACCGGAAAGGGACAATCCCTAGATCGCCTTCCTTGCGCGTTGTACACACTCCACTGCCAGAGCCTGCACCCGGCGACCCGTCAGCAGCCCCATCTTTACGGCTCACGGCACCCGAGGATGCAGACCGGCGTGCGGGGGCTGCGGCTGCGCACACCACCTTTTAAAGCTCGCGGGTCCCGGGCCTGCGGGCCGCGCGGGCTGGGGGAGGGGAAGGGGGGGAGGGAGGCGGGCCCCACTGCGCACGCGCAGGCCGGCCTTTGTGCGGGCCGCGGCCCCGGCCGACCCCCGCCGAGCGCCCGCGTTACCTGCGCGCGCCCTCCGCGTCCATGGCGGCGCCGCTGAGGCTGCGGCCGCTGCTGCCGGGCCCACGGGCGCCCGCTCTGCCGCTCGGCGCGGGGACTCACCACACAGTCGGGGCGGCCGGCGGACGGACGGCGCTGGCCTCGGCCCCTCCCACGCCGCTACAGCACCAGGCGCGCTTCCGGCCCCCTCCGAGGAGGCTCGCCGTCACGTGACGCAGGCCGTGCCAATAGCGTCCCCCTTTCGGGGTACGGGTCCCCCGCCTAGCCTTTCGGGATACGTGGAGGACCAAGAGGCGGTGGGGGGGGCGCCCCGCCGACGTCAGCTTTCGTGGGCTCTGAGTTTCCGGCTGGGTGTGGGCTAGGGGTGCCGGCCTTTGCGATGTATAGGTGATGCTTATGCCTGGTGGCACGTTCTGGTCTTTCCACCCAGGTTTTGTGCAGATCAAAAACTCTGTCATTTTCGGGAGACAAAAGCAGGTGGATCAGAGTTCGAGGCTAGCCTAATCTACAGAGTCAGTTCCAGGACAGCCAAGGCTATACTGTCTTGAAAAGCCAAAACAATAATAATGATTGAGGCACCAGAAACTAAACTTGATAAAAGGTTAAAAACTTGGGCCCTGAAAAGGGAACTTCTAATGACTGCTGTGGCTGGCATCTGAGCCTTGCTCTCAGAGAAGGGGAGGTGACTGTGTGTCAACATTCCTATGTCTGCTAATTGCTGGTCGCAAGGTGTAAATATCCCTTGGCCCAGGGGAAAATTGACAGGTCCTGTGACCCTGGTAACCCTGTTACCCCCTGCCCTGTCTTATCTAACTCAAATGCATCTTGTTTAAAATATATAGTTACTGCTTTACTTTGTACTTTGTATGACCTTAAGTAACCATGGAAACTCTGAAATGTGTAGCCTTCAACCTTATGCTCTTCCCCTTAAATGCTTCTCTTTATGGCTGGTTGGCATTTCATATGTCCCCATCCCCCACCACCACCACCATGGAGTGAGATCCAAGCTGGCCAGCTTGAGCAATAAAAAGAAACCTTTGCTTTTGCATCGGAGGTGTTGGTTCCTTGGGATGGTCTGGGGCTCTGCGAACCTGCCACAACAATAATAAATAAATCAAAACTTCACCTTAACCAAAACAACAAGAAAACTGCCTTCATTGTCAGTTTCTGTGATGGGCATTGGGCACTTCTTTTTGGAATCAGAAATACGAGTTGGGAGACCACTCTCTTTGGGGCTCTGTTAATCTGTAAAGAGGCTCTTTGCAGATGGACAAACACTAACCCTTTACATCCATGATGCTCAGTCTCATACACCAAACCCACTGCTACTCCTCAGCAGTCATCCAGGCTGGCCTCAACTGAAGCCACTCCTTCTTTAGCGTCTTGAGTACTGACTGAGATTACCGCACGTGCTACCACGCTTGGCTTTCCATGATTCTCAGAGTGGGTTTTTGTTTCTTTACGTCCATCATGGGTATTTGTGTGAGACTCAATTAGACAACTCTTCTAGTGATAGGCTTCCCTGTTTCTTCAGGTTATCTGACGAAAAACATGGGTGTGAGTTAGACTTGCCTAGTTTGTGCAATAATGGAGGTTTATTTGTCAATGTACTAAGAATTCTGTGATATGTGACCTCAGAGATGGCCATGGCTTTGTGCTCCATGTGTCTTTCATTCTAGGACATTTTAGAGAAAAGCCAAAAGGCAGTGGTGACGTACGCCTTTAATCCCAGCACTTGGGAGGCAGAGGCAGGCGGGTCTCTGTGAGTTTGAGGCCAGCCTGGTCTATAAAGTGAGTTCCAGGACAGCCAAGGCTGTTACACAGAGAAAACCTGTCTTGAAAAACCAAAATTATAAAAGAAAAGCCTGTCAGCAACTGGAGTGATAACTCAGAAGTTAAGAGCACTGGCTGGTCTTCCAGATGACCTGGCTTAGATTCCCAGTACCCATCTGGTGACTCACAGCTGTCTCTTACTCCAGTTCCTGAGGTATTTAACACTCTCTCCTCATTTCCATGGACACTAGGCACCAGAGTGGCACACAGACAAATCTGCAGGCAAAACACATATACATAAAGTGAAATGCACACAAAATAATAAAGTCTCTACTTAGAAAAGAAAGGCCATTTGCACTGGAGAAATAGTTGTGGGGTAGTCACCAGAGGAGACTGTGTGGACGTGAGTCTCAGCCAATGGAAAGTCTTTATTAATCGGTCGGCAACTCTGCTGGGTGTTCCGGGTCCCAGTGTAGCACCGAGCCTTCCTCAGTGTGAGCTTTTAAGCACAAAAGCCATGTTCTGGGTTACCAAGAACAGTTGGCCTGAAGCAGAACTGCAGAAGCTAAAAAGCAAGGCTAGTACATTCAGAGGCTTTCCCAGGACTATGGACTTCCATGGATTAGGACTTCTAGTTTTGGCATGTGGTGCTGTCTATGTGCTGAGTTTTATAGTCTGAATGGCACTTCCTTCATGGAGTTGCACTAAGGTCTGGGGCCTTGTTACAAAAGGCTCTGGTTTTTAAGAGTGGGTAAGGCTCTTGCAGAAGATTAGAAGGAGGTTTGAAATACTTTGGCAGCTCGTAACCAAACTTCTGGATCCCACAGGCAACTGTGCTCACATGCAGGTACACACACAATTTCATATGCTTGTAGTTAAAAATAAAACTTTTTAAAAATAGTTTTTCAAAAATGCTGGGTATGATGGCACAAACCTTTAATCCCAGTACTAAAGAGGCAGAGACAAGCCGGGTGTTGGTAGAGCATGCCTTTAATTCCAGTACTCGGGAGGCAGAGGCAGGCAGATATCTGTAATATCTGTGAGCCTGGTCTACAAGAGCTGGTTCCAGGACAGCCTCCAAAGCAATACAGAGAAACCCTGTCTTGAAAAACCAAAAAAAAAAAAAAAAAAAGCCAGAGGCAGAGGCAGAGGGATCTCTGTGAGGTTGAGTCCAGTCTGGGTCTACATATCTAATTCCTGGACAGCCAGGACTACATAGAGGGATTTTTGTCTCAAAAAAGGATGGGATTTAGTAAATTTGGAATTTATTTAAAATTAACCCCCCATCTCTCCCTTGCTTAAAAAAACATTAGATTACATTCCTAACGCTAGCCACCAAGGTCTATTCCCTTCTTTGGCCACTTCCTCCTGAGGCTGATGACCAAAGTCCAGCTATCAAAGTGTTCAAGTCCAGTAATGAAAAGGTGCTCTTTGGTTAACCTACCAATCAAAACATACCAACTCATCCTAACCCGGGGGTTCGCCCTCTTTGTAAATCACCATTTGTCTATGGGCTAGGTCTTTCTCCTCTCTATTTGGGGCAGCCCTTTGTCAATCCATCAGTCTGTGTTGTCCTTACCCCTCCCCCACAAATATCCCTCCGCCATCTCCCTTGTTTCTTTCCCCTTCCTTTTCTTCTATCTCCTGTCTTTGTCTTTTTTCCTCTTCCCTCTGGGGCAAATAAATCTCCTTGGTGCTCACAATTTGATCTTGCTCGGGGTGTCCTTATCGGATACAGGGCCTTACAACTACCATGAAAAAGAAAATGTGTGTGTGTTTGTAAGAGAATAACTCATGGAGTTGACTCTCTGCTTCCACCGTGTAGGGACAGGGAAGCAAAATTAGGCCAAGTTTAGCAACAAACCTCCTCACCCGTTGAGCCATTTTCTGGCCCAAAGTTGTAAAAATATTCTCAAGATTCATGATACCCAACGCCGCCTGAATGCTTCACAGTTAATTCTTGCAGTTTGCTTAACAACGAGTCCACAATCAAAGCACGACCTTTAAAACCATTCATACTTTAAATAATGTAGATTGGAGGTCTCTTTTTCCAGCAACGCGGACACCGTACTTGGGCGAGGCTCTATGTAAAGTACCAAAGACCTTCAGGACGGGGAGAAAAACCTTTATGCCTCTCTAGAGCAGCGCTTCTCAAGCCTCCCTAGTGCTGTGACCCTTTAACACAGTTCTGCCTGCGGTGACCCCCACCATAAAATGATTCCATTGATACCTCCTGACTGTAATTTTGCTGTTAAGAATTATAATGGAAATATGGCACCCCTGGATTCACCCGATGGGTCCGATCCGGAAACTGGGAAACTCTGCTCTAGAGTTCAGGTAGGAGAACTTGAGAACTCAGAAGCGAGCCCCGCCTCCACCTAACCACGACGGGGGCGGAGTCGTTTCCTTTGTGGGAAAAGAGAAAAGACGCCGTGAACACCACCACGGCCAGGGACGGCAAACGACAGGAGGGGACAGTGACCAGGAGCAGGATGGCTAAGGTGTGGAAACCGTCAAGACAAAACAAAAGCAGAAGAATAAAAAACCCTGCGCCTCACCTCGGGCAGAAACACGAACGCGCATGCGCACGTATTGCCCTCGCTTTCCGCTCCGGCGCGGCGCGGGGCCTCTGCACTTTGGGTCCGGCCCTCTGGCGGTCCGCCCGGTCGCCCTGGGCCTGTGCACTCCCCGGTACGGTCTTCCGCTCGCGTGGTCGCGGTCAGGAGCCTGGGGCTGTAGCTGCTCCCTGAGAGGCTGAAGGGGCGAGCAACCAGCGGGCCCACCTTCCACCTGCTCGGTTGGCGCTGGCTACGCCGAGCGTGTCCCGCGCCGCTCGCCCGTCACCGCGGAGGAGGTTGCGCGTGCCCCGAAGGCCGGCGTTGCGGCTCCGCCTCCTTCAGCACTCCGGGTGTCTCGGCGGTCGCGCCGTCTAAAAGCCACCCACCCCTCTGACGCGTGCCCTTTCCTTCCCTGCCAGCTTTCCACCATGCCCGGGGGCGTGCCCTGGTCCGCCTACTTGAAAATGCTCTCCTCCAGTCTCCTGGCCATGTGCGCCGGGGCCCAGGTGGTGCACTGGTACTACCGGCCTGACCTGGTGAGTGCTGTTGGGCTCGCGCCCGTCCCCGGAGCTACGCCCCAGCGTTCTGTCTGTGCATAGGCGCAGGCGGGCCCCCTCGACGTTTAGATGGTTCCTAGTGTTTGGATAAACAGTGCTGTAGCAGCACACTCTTAACACTTAAGACGCTTTAAGAGTTATAGTGAGCCAGCCTGGTCTACAGAGCGAGTTTAAGGATGCTACACAGAGAAACCCTGTCCCTAGAAGACAGAAAGTGGCAAGAACTTTACACGGAAATGCAGTTTTGTGTCTTATCTTCTGCAGGAATAGTTACCAGCGCCTTTTTACCAAGGAAGTAGTGCCCAGAATTTAACCCAGTGATGTTGACCTGATTCATCTCATTACTTTTGGAGATGCACAAGGGTTGTTACAAGCAGCTACCTGTACTCTGGGAGAAAGTAACACAAAACCAGTCCCCAAATGGACATACTAAGGGCCCTAGGCCCTCTGAGTCTGGGTGGGTGGTAGCATTGGCAGCCTTCTGGGACAAGGTGACTGGCTGCTAAGGAATTGATGTCCTTTTCCTACCCGGTCTTTTGGAATCATTCCAGCCACCACTGTTACAACACCTAAAAAGTTTAGGGGGAGAGCAGAGGAGACTGATGGCTGCCCAGGGTTGGCACTCCGTGCTGACTTCGGGGGAACTGTTAAGGATGCTTTGTTTCAGGTGTCCAGCGTGACTCAGGAGGACAGCAGAAGCCACAGCTGTGCTCCTTTAGTATTTAGACCGACACCCAGGAGTCTTCCTAATTCTTCTCTCATTGCGTGCCTCAACAAGTCCCATTTGTTCACCCACCCCCTGCCCGCTTCTCTGGCCACCATTGTTGTGCCTACCCTGTGCAGGCCACCGAGTCACCTCCTTCTCAGTTAAGATGCTCCCTGACCGTCTTCTGCCTCCGCTTGCTTTTCCTGGCCTCTTCTCGGCAGGGTTCTTTCTCATCGCCATCTTTCTGTCCCCCAAAGTGAAGGCCAGCAGAGTCTTTATGTCCCCTCCGCCTCCCCTCAGCTAGATGTCTAAGCTCTTGAATGCGGTGTCACACATTACGATGCTTTTCCTTGAACATGAAGGCACAGTCATGCCTCGGGTCCTCTCTGCCCTTGTGATCCCATAGTCTGAAACACTCCCAGATGCCTGCAAGATTGTTTCCTCATCCTCCTTTGTACCTGTGTTCAGACATCATTGCTCATTGTCATTAACACTAAGAAATGCAGTCAGAGCCTCTGATGAGATGGCCATAATAAAACAATTGTATGGGAGGGAGAGGCGACGGGGATTGATTTTAAAATGATTGTTTCTAAATAAGAAAAAACAGTTGTCAAGGACAGGGAGAAATTTGAACTCTCATTCTCTACCGGGCACTATAAAATGGTGCAGCTGCTTTGAAACCCAGTCTGGCTGGCAGTTCCTCAGTGTATGTTCCAGCAATTCCCGTTCTAGGCTTCTACCCAACAAACATCAAGACATAAGTCATCATATTAATTTGTTTGACCTTGCACATGTTCATAGGTGGGAACAATACAGATGGCTGATGAATGCCTCTATAAAACATGGTACATCCACACGGGGGAGGGTCATTCAGTGACCCTACATAAATGAACCTTGAAAAGATGCAAAGTGAAAGGATTGAGTCTCAAAAGACTACAGGATCTGTGGTGGGCAAATGCATGTGGGTAAATGGCTTGTGGGGAACATTTGGGAAGAGGTAAGAGTTTCTTTTCGGGCAGTGAGAACGTTCTAAAATTTCATTGTGATAGACTCATAGCATTGACCATACTGTACCGAAAACCATTGTTTGTATTTTTTCTTCTGTGGTGCTGGGATTCAAACTCAGCCACGCACATGCTGCACCCCGTGCATTTCTTTCTGCACTCCTCAAGCAGAATTTGTGTATGCTTGTTCACTGATTTATGCATTTTACATGATGGCTACTTCATATCTTTTGAATATAGTAACTACCATTTGTTTTTTTTTCTGGGCCTGGTGCATGTTAGAGAGCCAGTAAATAGTGCAGGAATGAATTTCCAAATGCTGACATTCTCATTTGAAATTGAGGCAGTTGGATTTATCCCTGTGAGTACTGCAGGACTTAAGACCTTCTCAGATGATTTAACCCTGAATATACAGATAGCAAGAACTTTAGATCAGCCAGGGTCCTTCTAACGGCCTGTTGTTGAGTTGTATGCACAGCGCTTTTTGATCTCTCCAGCTTTTGAGATCACATTGAACTATTGTCTCAGAATGTTGTAGCATCTGTTTATGACTCTTGTTTTTATTTTTGTAGACAATACCTGAAATTCCACCAAAGCCTGGAGAACTCAAAACGGAGCTTTTGGGACTGAAAGACAAACACCACAAACCTCAGGTTTCACAGCAGTAGAAACTTCAAAATACAACTCTGCCAAGAATTCTGTGATTACTTTACATACATATTTTTAAATGTATTGAGTAAAACTACTTCTTAAACATCTAGTCCAAAAGCAAATGCTGGTTGATAGGAACTGGTTAAGTTGAACTTGTATTATGATTCAGTCAGTATTTTCTAGTCTCACTGTGCATTCTTGGCTCACTTGGAACTCACTCTAGGTCAGGCTGGCCTCCAGTTGACAGGGATCCACAGGCCTCTGCAACAAGGTCCGTGTAGCCATGCTGATCCTGGATGGTGGAATTGCAGGTATATATGACGACACTTAAGAGCCACAGAGCCTCAGCTTTTACATTTGACTGGGAAGATGTTTCTCTTCAGTGTCTCCTGCCATTGTGATTCTTATTTCTCTGAATGAGCTTGATTATAATGGCAAGTTATAAATTACATACAGTAGTCAGTGACAATACTTATAGGATCTAAACATTTGTACTAAACTATATAAAATATTTAACGTTCTAAGTTCTTTGGAATTGTGTGCCTAATGGAATTGCCACTTTAGTGACTTAGCTTGTCAAGGTGCTTTAATCCCCCAAATTTGAGAAAGCAAATTAAAGTTGACATTTTCTTTATACATGTAAAAATGTGATAAAAAATGAATGTGCTAAGTTAAATTGTGTCCCTAGAAAAATGCTGACCTCAACCCTCAAGAGTCTGTGAATGTGACTGTAGGATGAGGCCATGAGGGTGGGCCTGATGCACTGTGACCTCTGTCCTGATGCCATGAACACACGCAGGGAGGACATTGTGAAGACATGCAGGGACTGGAGTGCTGAACTGCACGTCAAGAACACCAAGTGTCTCCAGCCCCAGCCAAAGCCTGGGAGAAGAAAGGGTCCCAGAGGCACAGGACAAGACTGCTCATCACACTGGACTTCACACTTGGTCCTTCGGAACTGCCACAACACGTTTCTTGCCACCTAGTTTCCTACGTCAGCTGTAGGAAATGAACTTGTCTCAAGGTTTTGCTCAATCTATAAATATAGAACAAAAGTAATTTATACAGTTGACTTTCTGAAGACTTTGTGTATGAATGAATGCGTTGCATGCATGTTTGTCTGTGCACTATGTGCATGTATAGTTCCCTAGGACCCAGGAGTGGGCATCAGATCCCCTGGACTGCAGCTACAAATGGGTGTGAGGCCACGTGAATACTGAGGACTGAGTCCCGGTCCTCTGAAGAGTAGTACCAGTACTCTTAACTGTTGGACCATCTTTCCAGCCCCTAGGTTAGTTTTATGCAAGTTGCATGAATGTGTGGACATGTGTGCAATACACACAGAGTAGGCGTCAGAGACCCTGGAATGTGAGTAATAAGACAGTTTCCAGCCACCAGATGGGTTCTGTGGTAACAAGTTGTCTGCAGCCCATTCTCTAGTCCTGGACAATGATATCTCTGTAGGCCTGCCCTAAGGAGTAGACTAGGGCTCTGAAGCTGAGTGTTTTCTTTGAGACAGGGTATACCTTGTCTGGTCCTAGAACCTACTAAGTAGATTTGGATGACCTTGAATTCAAGATCTGCCTATGGGTACTAGGTACACATGCAGGCAAAGCATTCATGCATATCACTTGGAAAATTCTGACAGGGTCTATTTAGTACTGACACTGGCTATGCCATGCTGGTCTTGATCTTCTGTGTCAAGTGCACCACAATGCTCAGCTAACATAAAATTACCATGGTATGCATACCTTTAACCCTAGCACTCAGGAGGTAAGCAGAATTCTAGGCCAGCTAGAATTACATAGCTTGAGAGAGCATATCTCAAAACAAAAACCAGGCAAGTTACTATACTGTGGACCTTACTACATTTTACTTTTTTAAAAATTTTTTATTATGTATATAGTATTGTGTCTACATGTACCCCTGCAGGTCAGAAGAGGGGACCAGATCTCTTTATGGATGGTTGTGAACCATCATGTGGTTGCTGGGAATTGAACTCAGGGCTTCTGGAAGAGCAGCCAGTGCTCTTAACCTCTGAGCCATCTCTCCAGCCCCTACAATTTACTTTTTAGTACCCACTTGATCCCCTGCACCTGTCTAATGGCCTTCCTTTCCTAGTTTCCAGTCAACATCCTCTAACCTGTGAGGACTTCTCAATGTTAAGTTTTTCATGGCTTGTGAAGAGTAATATTCAGTTTCCACTTCCCGTCTGTACTCTGGAAGGGTGTCACAAAGTCTAGCCCACACCCGCCCCGGGAAGGAGAATCATTTGCATGCATTTCAATCTGTCCAGTAAAAGCGATTTGAAAAACACTAAACACAATAAACTAGTTATTCTTTTGAAGAAAAAACCTGCATCACAGAATCCCTGCTTTGTGTTATAAAAATAGGCAGTGCTGTTTGGGATCTTTTTTATTTTATACACATGACAAGATTTTACACCAATAGTCAGTTAAATAGTACAAATTTACATTCATGAGGAATGTTAAAAAAAACAAAACAAAAACTCAACTAAAAAACCCACTTCTTCCTGTGACCCACAATCCCAACATTTTACAGTGCAGGGGAGAAGGAGGCTGGGGGAGCATCCAAACAAGTCTCTCTGAAAAGAAACGACTTAAAATTTCACATTCGCTCTCCACACAGGATCCGTGGTGAGAGGATAATTTACAACTCATCTTTTTCTGTTGTAGATTCCTGTGAAAACAAAAATCAGAAGACATTTACAAACTACCACTAACCCTACCTGTTTTGTTTGTAGTTACTGGCCAAAATAATTCAGAACCCACCAAGATCAATGCCTAAATTTAATTATCAAAAGTTAAGCTGGGCAGTGGTGTCGAATGCCTTTAACCCCAGCACTCGAGAGGCAGACTGTGAGTTCGAGACCAGCCTGGTCTACAAGATCTAGTTCCAGTACAGCCTCCAAAGCCACAGAGAAACCCTGCCTTGGACAAAAAAAAAAAAAAACAAAAAGCCAACCAACCAACCAACCAACAACAACAACAAAAAACCCCAACATTAGGAAACCTATTTGCTGGCCTCACACTGCCCTACGTGGGAAGAGCTGAGTGGAGCCCAGCTCTGGCTCAGACCTTTGCTGTTTCCTGCTCCTCCTCGTCCTCCTCTGTGCCCGCATCCACCTCCTCCTCCTCGTCTTGCTCTGTGTCTTCTGTCGTGTCTTCAGGCTCTTCTTCTGGTTCTTCTTCTACCTAATGGCGACATTCATGAACCCGGTAAATGCTTCCATCTGTTTTCATTTTTCTTAAAATGTTTACGATCCTAAAGGGTGTTTTAATTAAGAACTTTAGTAAATCTTCATAATGGGGGAACTATCAGGAAGGAAGACAGGGATTTCTCCTTCATAGGTGAGTGATGTCATCACTCTAGGGGTTGACATGGAATAAATAATTTCTAAGAGTAAAAACTAAACACAATTCTAAAACGGTGACACTTAACTAAAAGGCAATTGTTCTTAAAAGCTGTGGAAGAGCCGAGGGTACAGACCTGTGCTTCAGGGTCAATGTTTAAGCTGAGGCGAAGCATTCTCTCTATTCTGTCTCCATAAGCCTTGGTGTCTGGCAGAAGATAACCTGACCGAAGCGTTGCTGTTTCAAATAAAACCACAGCAAGATCCAAGACAGTCTTGTCATCTTCATCTTCCTGATAGAGGGCACAGCCAGTTAATATTAATATTAAAAGTTACAAAGCAGTCCAGTTTAAGCAGAATGGCTACATCATCACTCACCTTAACCCGTCTAAGCATGTCTCTGATCAGCGGATGTCTGGGATTAATTTCAAATGTTTTCTTCTGACTGGCATAGTAACTGTTCAGGGACAAAATGAACATTAGTTAAGACATCAATTTTAGGGTCCACATGCCTACTGTATTCTAACTTTAATTACAAAGAAAACTATTGCTTCCTTTACAGGGGTGAGGTGGGGAGGGGGTCATGGGCAGATAAAAAATGAAATAGAAGAAACTAATGGTGAGTCTCCAAGTAACAAGTTCTGCTGGATTAATGAACTGGTTTAATGTCTTATTCTCTAATACCTTAACCAAGCCATACAGTGACGGGTGCTGCTTAAGTATATAATCTCCATTACTTCACCGGTGTGGGTCCCTAAAAATTCACTCTTAATTAACTCCAATTAAAAGTTTGCTCATTAGCATTTTCCTGGTAACTTCAACTATTTCTGTAAGTCCACACATCTGCTCAGAGCTTAGGGTACAATTTGATTAGTCACTCTGGTGGTCACAAGGACAGGAGCTAACAGCATAAATGCAGTGAGCACTGAGTGCACAATAACTTTTCTGACACTGATAATTATGTTTTAAATGGTATTACAATGTTGGATAAAAGATATAGCAGTGTTCCAGGCATGGTGGATCTCTGTGAGTTCGAGGTCAGTTTGGTCTACAAAGTGAGTTCTAGGACAATAGAGGCTGTTACAGAGAAACCCTGTCTCAAAAAACCAAACCAAAAAAAACACTGGTGAGTTGTGATGTAAACGTGGACATTATTACTCCATCACCACCCCAAGAACAAGGTTGTTCTGTATAGCTGTGACTGTCCTGGACAGAACTCGGCTCTGTAGACCAGTGCTGGGATTAAAGATGTGTGCTACCACTGCCCAGCCTGTGGACCTTATTCTTAACCTAAAGTAAAAAAAAGGACAATACATATGCAGATCAAAAACATTTCCATTTGCACACAAAAGGACAGGGGCTGACATGTGGGTAGGGACTTCCCCAGTTCCTTACTTTGTGGAGATGTCCTTGCCCGTTTGGTATGCTTGGGCCTTCATAATCCTCTCCATGTTGCCAGACCATCCATACTGGCTGGCCACAAGAGCACAAGGAGACTCGGTGAGACGCTGTGATACCACGGCCTTCTCAATCTTAGGATGAGAAACATTAGACACAAGTGAGTATTAGCAGGTAGGCAATGCATTCATCACTCCAGATTATAGGCAGAGGCATTCAGATTCAGGAATCCCTGAGTAACACTCATTTAATCTGCTTGTTTTTTCAGCTACAAATTTACACTTAAACCTGTAAAAATGTAGTACAAAATCAGTATTATAACAGGAAACTTCTGTAAGTTGCAAACTCACTCCACCTGTATTAAACAGCATTAAATTGTACTCTTTACTTTTTATTTAGCTTGTGGATAACTCAACCAGCCTGCCCGCCACAGAGTACCTTGTCCTTAAGGGCCTTGTCTTTCATCCAGTTGAGCAAGGGCTCAAACTCCTTCTCTGTTGCTTCCCGGTTTTCCTTGGTCTTCTCACTCTCATCAAACTTCACTCCTTCTTTGGCAACATTCTGGAACCTCTTCCCATCAAACTCGGGAAGGGCCTGAATGCAGTACTCATCCACAGGCTCTGTGAGGTAAATAACTTCATAGCCCTTCTTCAGAAGCCTCTCAACAAATGGAGAAGACTCAGCCTATAAAATTAAACAAGTGCGTTCTCAATTTCTGCCTTGGCATGGATGGCAGTTGTGTCTCCACAGCGTCAACACCCCGCATGACAGGGACTTGAGGTAAGTGCCCCCTGGTGCTGCCTAACGCTCCAGCCACTTGCAACTGCCTTCCTTCTCACCTCTTTCCTGCTTGACCCAGCCATGAAGTAGATTTTGTCCTGCTTCTCCTTCATTCTTTCCACATACTGGTCCAGACTTGTAATGTCAGTTGCGTGGTGAGAAGACTGGAACCTCAGCAGTTTAGCAAGCCGTGTACGATTTGAGTGGTCCTCAATCACACCGAGCTTGATGTTGGTGCCAAACTCTTTCCAGAAAGTATCATTGTACTTTTCATCTGCAATCTTCTTGATCATGTCCAGAGTTTTACGGACGAGCTTCTTCCTTATCACCTAAGGAAAATGGAAACCTGCTTAAGAGAGTTCATCTTAAATCTTTGCAAATGGAAGAGACTAGGAAAACACCAACTGAGACAGCAGAATGGCCCACTAGTGCCACTGATCAAGGAACAGGAAAATGACAGGGCACTCCTACCTCAGACTGAGTTACAATTATCGACAAGTGTTTTTGATGTT